GACCAAAACCATCCCCTGGCACTGCCTTTCTTGATGTCTCAACCATTCCTTTTAAAGGCAGACTTGGGTACACTTGCTAAAATATGTTTGATATTTAGGCCATGTTTACTGACACAAAAGGGGAGAGACTTAATCTGTTTCGTCACGCTCTTATGGTTACCTCGAGCTCTAGAAACTCCCCATCCAAACACTGACTTTCAGAACCCGCTGGGCTGTAGCTGCTATGGGATCAGCCGGGAGGCTTCCCGGCTCGGGCCATCCCTCACCCCTGGGAATGCAGAACAAAAGCTTATGGGCCTTAAAGAAAGTAGCAGACGTAGTTATTTCCAGTAATACTAAAATTACTTAGCTTTGAGTCACTATTCCAGGAAACTAACCTACCTTCATATATAAGGAAGAAGCCCAAAATATCTCACTCAACACGAGTGATATAATCTCAAGTTAATACAGATGACTTCCTGAAAGAGCTACCCAAATTAATAGCTCATACGAAGAAAATCTGGCTCACAGCAAATACAAAACTATCCTGGTGTCCTCCGTGGTGCCCTCCTTAGCAAGGAGCAGCCTGAACAAGGATCCTCAAAGCTTGTCCCTCTAAGTCAGAGCACAATCTTTGGGACCAAACTCTTCTCGGTGGTGGCCAGTGACAGGACAAGGGGTCATGGGTACAAGTTGAAACACAGGCAGTTCCACCTCCATGTGAGGAAGAACTTCTTTCCTGTGAGGGTGCCAGAGCCCTGGCACAGGCTGCCCAGAGAGGCTGTGGAGTCTCCTTCTCTGGAGATCTTCCAAACCCGCCTGGATGCCACCCTGTGCCATGTGCTCTGGGTGTCCCTGCTGGAGCAGGGGGTTGGACTGGGTGATCTCTGGAGGTCCCTTCCAACCTCAACCATCCTGTGATTCTGTGAAAGGCCACCCCACAGCCCGCTCTAAGGAGCTTAGAGATCAGCAGGGACAAAGAGCAAATTGCACAACCGGCACCGCGAGCAGGACTGCGAGGAGCAGCAAACACTGCTGGGCTGTTCTCCGGCCACCCTGACCTAGTTTACTGGGAGCCCCAAATTATTTTCCCTAAAACTCGAAAAAAGTAAAGAGATTTCAATGGAACTGCATAAAAATTGGCGAATGGCACCTCTAGGGGCCCGGCTGCTGCACTGGAAGGGCAACTGCACTGCGCTTCTCACGCGTGTGTAAAGCAACTGGTATGAGGTGACCGAGATGGAGCTGTAAGAGACGACTGCAGAGTTATTTATTACATCTGCACATGTTACTGCAAGTCACTAACTGAGGAGTTGCCATTTCTATGACACTACTAGGCCATAGCAATATTTAAAAAAAGCTACCCGGACAGCACTGATCATTTTATTCAGTTATAGCTGGTTAAGTCTTTTCTTTAAAAATATATTTGCTTTAAATTGAACTAAAAAAAGTTTGCTTTTAAATACATTTGTACCTGTAAAGATGTTGAGTGGAGTAAGAGTTCATCAAGGTGCTATAAAATGCACCAGAAAAAAGCTGGCAATGTTACCAGAACACAGGGTTAATGCATTTAAGTGCTGAACTTCTCTCCCATTTCCAGAGACAGTATAGCGGAAAAATGTCTCCCCTCAGGATTAACTTACAAGCAGAAGCAAAACATGCACACACTGCATTTCACCTGTATCTCCAATTACTCTGATGCTTGCTGCAGTGTTAATTTGAACGGTCTATACTTGGGTCTACTCTAAGTGAGAATGTACGTGCTGAGATCTATTAAGCTGCAGAATGACTATTAGCAGCCAACGAGTTATTAAGACAACTCTGATAGCAGCTTAAACCCTCTCCTGATGGGCAGCTGCTGCTCTTGGGTGTTGAGTTGGCGTTAGGAGCAGTAACCACGTTCCATTTACCCTTATTGCCAGAGTGATCCTTCCCAGATGTGGAGTATTTTGGATGTTTGTGTTTCTGCTCAATGATCTCTAACTGTTTCTATCAGCTCTTAGGCACTCATCTGCAGAATCAGGATCATTTCATAAAATGCCAGCCTAGCTCCAATTCATTTGAAGTTCAGACAAAAAAGGCAACCTGGGATGGTTCTTTAATGTTAACAGAGATTTTGGTACATTTTTGCTTACTGTAAATCAAAGGTTTTCTCCCCATTGCACTGCATTTTCTTCCCATTTAGCTCTTTGAAGCCCAATCAAGCTCAAAGAATTGAAACATTACACAGGAATATCTCTAATTTTTGAACACGGAAAGGGGGAAGACAACAACCTGCATCGCCTTCCCCCTAACAACACTGGCTCAAACTCTACTAAACCACTTAACATCTAAAAAACCCTGCGTCCTCCAAACTTCTCAATGAACAATTATAGATGGATTAATAGAAGCACAAAGCACAGAGCTGCTAGTATTTGGACAGAATACTTCCAAACGGAAAGTGCTAACAGACTCACACTATGCAGATCATTATCTGTTTCAATTATGAAGGTAATGACTTGCCTAGAAGCAGAATTGCCACATTTAAAGGAAGATTGTCCTACCTCCCACCAGTTTTAAAGATTAGATCTGCATTAGGTGCTCCCTTCGGATGCTGGTAACGAGGCCGTCGCTCACGATTAGTGTTCGCAGGAGCTGGACGCTGTGCCAGGGACTGCAACATCTCTGCAATTTCAGAAAGAACCAAAATTAAATAAGTTTTGTACAGGTCTTTTCAAGGAAAAACTTAAATAAATCCTTTTCAAGGGCATGAATTAAGACATTTTACATACACTTCGCTATCCTTGCAGGTTAACATTCCTTACACTATCCCACGTATCTGTAACAGTTAAAGTTATTAAAATTGCATAGAGAGCTTTGACAGATTCAAGCTACCCTGTAATGTGAACTTGCATTTCCAGATGTCCCTGGGTGTTCCCACAGGAGGCACGGAAAGGAGTGGTTTTCATCACAAGTGCTTCAGCAAGGAGCACGCATGACCTTTTTTCCTCCATTATGCATAAGCCACCACCGACTACCGGGGATAAAGGCAGCATGACAGGCCACAGCGTAAAGCTACTCCAAAATAGTAACAACTGCCCAGGGTTGCTGCCAGCTGAAAGACTTGGGAGAGACTTGTCCTAATTTAGGCATCTAGGAGGCAGGTATTTAAGCCTAAATCCATAATAGGGTCCCTTTATGGACAAGAGACAAACCAACACCTGGAGAGGGTGGCTTAGCTGACCCATCTCATGCCAGCTGGCTGAAGGACTGAGTTCATCTCCCTCTGTGTGCACCCAGGTCTCCCCACTGATTCAAAGGGAGCCTGCACTCACCAGCTCAGCTCTGGAGATCCAGCCTTTGGGCAGTTAGAGCTAGGTAGAAACATCAGGCTTCTGTCATTTGGTAAAGATGAATTTCTCCAAGAATGAGAAATAATTATGATAAAAAAAAAAAAAAGGCTCCTGACTGGACTAAGTTAGTGGTCATTAAGTATCTGATGGAATTAGGAATCTATCCCAGGAATCTATCCAAAAGCTACTGCCATATGTTGGCACATCTGACTGAAAGCACTGCCGACCGCCCACCTGCACGAGAACCTCCACGCTCAGCAAAACCCACACATGGCATGAACGCGGGGAAAAGTGGAATAAGCTGTTAAACAGATTAGGTTTGAAAGTCTGCTCCGTCTGGTTCCCTAATCTCCGCTCATCTCGTTGGAGACGCACACCCATCGTCTGCTAGAGAGAGCGTCCAACCATCCCGGCGGCAACTCGCAGCCTCCGCGCTGAGGTCCTGCACGGAGCCAGCCCACTGCCCCCTGCACAGCATCAGTTGTTACAGTCAGGCTGACTAAATGAATTAAAAAAAAAATCTAAAAATATTATGAACTTTCCCATTTCAGAGTTCTGCACACATTCCCCTGGAAGAAAAATCCTTTATAAAAGCATGAATTTAGGACTTCTGTTACTCAAAATCCTGGAAGTATTGGATTCCATAGTGCTTTCATAATCAGAGCTGCTTTAATTTTAAATCCCCTATTTCTTGATGAACAATGACCTTTCACTAAACAGGATTTCCTGATAATTAGCTACTTATATTGTGATTACCACAAGACTGAAATATCATTGGGGGGAAAAAAGGGACTGAAAATGCTATCAGTTTTATTTGGTTTGGCTTTGCTTATCATCAGGGTAAACCCAGGAAGGTTGAATCTAACAAGATATATCAAGTACACTGGCTATAGCTGATTATTAACCATTTGCTTCAATCAGCCCATTTGATTTACACATTTTATATAGTTTATCAACAATATATTCACACATATACACACACATGCAAACATATAAATACATTTTTTCAACTCAGATCAGATAATTAGTATTAAATCTTTATTCTATTAATTATATTCTCATGCTATGTATTTGCCAGGCTTCCAGAAACTTTAATAATATGACTCTGAGCTGATCTTTGTTACTACTGAGACAAAAGGTACCACCTAGTCTTAGCATAAAAATAAATACCTATTTTCTAGTAGTAAATTAACGCTTTTTTTTGATAGGTCACACAGAATGAAATCCTTCTCTATCCAAATCACTTTTCTTCTAGAAATTCAGACAATCTGTGTTACATTATTTAATTTTGAAGAAAAAAGTCTTAATTCCTCCTATTTCAAAACTGAGTAGAATTCCTCCCATTTCCGAACGGAGCAGAAATGGGGACATTTATTGTGGCCCAATTAAAAACTTTTTCATAAAAAAGCTATGTGAACTTCTACAATCCCAGAATACAGGGAGTAAGTAGGAATTACTGAAACTACAGTGTACATTTTCCATAAAATAAAGTTAATGCTCAGCACAAACTGCAAATTATCAGAAATAATATTTTTGCACTCAGACCTTGGTAGTCCTCTTGTTCTTGCCGTTCATTGATATCCAAAGTGAGCTTTTTCATCCTCATTCTTTCCTCCTGTTCAGCTTGTTGTTGGTTCCAGTGGTTCGCAGCAAGTTGGGAAGACATTGGTACGTTTAGGATCTTAAACTGCAAAGCAAAACAAGCCTTTAAGGACCCATCACAGAACTGAAGGACAAGAGAGAGACTGTTACGTGTATTTCTAGGCTGCCTTGATGAGATGATTCCTGCAACATATATATGTATTTATTTTTTAACTGGGAAGCTCTTTTTTTTTTTTTTTTCCAAATCTACTCCACAAAATGAAGCATGAGAAAATAACTAATATCTAGATGTGCTGAAGACATATATAATTCATAGAAGAGGAAGATGTATTTGTAAAATAAAAGACTATTAAGTCAGATGATTACGGGAACAAACTGCACCATTTCTTACACGGAACGGACTGCTATATGTTTTAATTCTTATTAGTTACAAGGTGCTCAGTACAGCTACCTTCTAAAGCAATCAGATTTCCTACTGCTAACTCTTGTAACTACAGAGGAAAATGCTTTAAGGTTTTCAAATACCCTCTGGCATTCCTTGTCTTTACATTTTATAAATGATTCCATCTCCTTAGTGTTTATGGTGAAAGACACAGCTACGGTGTCAAATGTAATCAAATTTAATCCTTCCCTGTTCTCCTCCTCCCTGAACATCCACACGACACAATCAACACGTTACCGCCGACTTATGTTACATCAAAGGCAAACTTGCTGTCTCAGGACACCTTTCAGGAAAGGCCCTGGTGGAAGATGCTTTGTCTTTCCTCTAAAAACCACAAGGTTTTATTTTCACAGAAAAATATTTTAAAGTTATCCCAAGTCAGAGAAGTGATAGTTTTCAGAAGCTCTTTAAAGTTTGTGAATATAGCTAGGGAAAAAAATCCACTTTCTCCTTCAATTATGGCACTGTGTTTAGAAATAAACTACCCTGTGGTTGTAGGAATTGCTATTAATCCTGCTACCTGCTCTTGCCACCTAAAAATCCTTTTGTCCATAAAAATGGAAGCAGGCAAATTGGTAGGTGTGCTTTCAATGGTGCTGACAAAAGCTGCTAACAAAGAGATACATACTGTAAGAACCTCTAGCAAAGCAAAATCCTCATAGCATCTTTTTATTTCATGAAATAACTACTATGAAACCTCATCTTAGCTATTTAGACAGCAGCATCCCACTGGCAGTGGACTAACGAGGAATGCAAGAGGATCTGAGTATTCAAATGCAAGCCCTGAAAATAAAGAATGCAAACAACTGCTTGGAAGATGTGAGGGAAAAAAAAAATCTTGAATGCAGTGAAACTTTATCAATTAAAAGACTTAAAGGACTTTTATTTTTTTTTTTTTTGGCTCATTAGCAAGGTATCTACCAGTTATTTTGAATATAAATGCAACCTTTTTATGTGAGCGGGAGGAATGGGAATAAAAATGGAAGTTCTTTGAATTACAAAAAAAGAAAGCTGTAGTTATTAATGGTTGAGCAAACTAAACAACATGGCATGTATTCTCAATATTAAAGCAATTATACAAATAACCTTCTAATCCATTAACAGCATCTCAGGGTGAAAATCAGTTCCCAGGCAAGGAGCTTAGGGATGTGGCTGTCTTAATATACCCTTTATTTGCTGCCCGTTCTCTGCATTTGTCAGCTTAATGGAACTGGTAGTGTTTTCAGACAGAATGCTTAAACCAAAAGAAAGAAACCATGAATTAAAGGAGGGAATTAGATTTGGAAGACATCACTGTATCACCACAGCATTAGGCTCTAGGCACTCTGGCTCAAGGCTGCAGTATGAAATGAAACCATTGGTGACAATTACTAAGGTAGCTGATGACTACTGAGCAAGTGAAACATTTCCCATTTACAAACATTGATATTGAAAACTTCTAAAAACTGTCAAGAGAATTTAGGGACATCACGTTCACCTGAAAAAGATGGCACACTTGAAAACATTTGAAAACACTTCTTGCATTCAGGAGACTGGAGTAAATTAAAATACTGATAAAGAATGTCAGGAAGATAAGAATTTAACATTCGAGGGTAGGTTATACTTTTTGATGGTTATTACATTAAAAATCTTTCTGAAATCCTTCAAACTAAAGGCAATCTGCTTGCTGTCAGGGTCCCTTACTACCTACATCTCCTTTTGGTTCACATCTCCTTGGTGTAAAATTGCTTAGACATTGATAAAAACGAACAGCAGAGAGCGCTCAGCCCCGATGACTTATGATGGGGTCTGAATTCCGGCATTTCCCCTTGTCTGCTTGGAGTTTGGGGATTACTCCTCATTCCACCAAACATTAGGAAAACAGTTTTACTGCAACTAGCTTTGTAGATTTTTGTCACACAACATCTTATAGTAGCCAGGTCAAGACACTGCTCTACCTGATATCCCAGCTATCGTGTGTTTTTGTAATCACAGCGTGACAAAATAAGATAAATTTGGTGTCTTGCTCCTATCAACCTGCAGTGGATCATTAATCTGGGGGGTCAGGAGGTTGTTAAGAGCCACGGGCCACAACGTGGGCTACACAACGTTGCTTTTGTACCTGCCTCAACACCGGTGCAGGAACCGAGCAGTTAGCGACCGGACCTCTCCGGACAAACATTAACCTTTGGATGATAACAGCACATGTTATCATCAACACGTACATTCTTTCTTCTTTTTATTTGTTTTTAAATAGTGAAGGCTCCTGCTTTCCAAGGCAATTCTGACAAACAGAGAGATCAAACCAACTGCAAACGTGAGAATCGATCAGGTTGACACGAATGCAGTGGTGCTGCTTATTTTTCTAGCAATGACTAAGATGAGAAATATCTTTTAGCCTCTGGGTTGTCAGCCAATTTTGTTTGCCATTTTTAAAAAGCTAGAATTGGACAGCTATTGGTTAAGAGTAAAAACACATGCATTCCTTCAAAATTCAGTGCACGCTCTGCTCACTCGGATTTAAAATTCAGCAGTGTAAGAAACAACTACTCTCCTCTCAACTCCACCTCCTCTTTCCTGCTTATTTTTTTTTTTCTGTTCAAGCTGTCTACTAACGTATTTTGTCTGAACACGAACCACGGACAAAGAAGCCTTTCATTGACTCAGGAACTGAAGTATTCTGTAAAACAACCATTTTTTACATTTCTAGAAACAGCAAACAGAGGTTTGGCAGGAAAAGCCTACTCCCAAAAGCAAATACTGGGGGAAAGTGGCAGGGGGATGAGATTCCCGAACAAGTTTTGCTTTATTTGTCAGGTCATTGGTTGTCAGCAATATTTTCCCGTCACGCGGAGTAAGAAGCTCCTAAAATTCTCGATGATTGCAGATATTCCCAATAAAAACTCTGAAAATGCCAAAGGCAGTTTTGGGGGAATATAGTTGTTTCAAATCCCTTTTCAGCTCTGTGAAAACAGTTATAGCTCCCCAATCAAAACTTCTACAAAATTTTGATGCACCATTGAAGTCCCAGGAAACAGAGTAACCAAAGAAATGCAATAGGAAAATCAGTTAATAGTCACTATTAGGTCCAAGTATGGATGTACCCAAGTCAAATAGCTTCAAAAGCACCTACTTATCACAGTATTTGCAGAAGGGAAGAATTAAGATTTTAAAAACAACCCCCTCGAGAACATACATGAGCAGTCACAAACCCTGACTGGCTCAAGGCTTTTTTGATAACCAACCTTCTCATTTTCTGCACAGATAGGAAGCCAAATGTGGAAGACGTACAGATACGGCATTAATTCCTATAAGCTTCTGCACAAAACATGAGATTATAAAGCAAAGTTAAAAATATTTTCTTTCACCCTCTCTCCAGTGAAAGCATTAGCAAGAAAATGATCAGGTAAAATATTTTTAGTTCGAGAATGAGAGCCCTTGTATTTTCCTCTCAACAAACATTTAACAGATGAAAGGTCATTTTGCATGACTAACATTCCATCATTTTATGGGATTTTTTCCTCACTGACACACCAGCTCTTACAGATGTATCCTTGTTTCATTGCACCTTCACACAGCAGTGAAGTTTGGGCATTCGGCAGCTGTTCTGTCTGCAGGCCTGCCTGTTTTTGCAGCACATGCCAGAACAACTTTCCATCCTTTGCTGGTCAACCAGGCCCTGTACAGCATTTTTGCAGCTGGGAACCCAAACTACTCTGAGAATTCTACAGAAGCTTAACCTGCTACTCTTCTGCTATCTGCTATTTCCTCTTAAGCTACTATTTTTATGACACCTACTTGTTACACAGAATAAATAAGCCTTCCAAAGGTGATTTCTACCTGCACAAGGTCTCTCCCAGAGCAGAGAAATTGAATGGCAGTTTTACAGTTAACAGAAAAAGACAATTTGCAACCATTCCTCACCCCACTTAAAACATTAGATCATCACAGCTTTAATGGGAGCAGTTCTTCACAGTCAAATAGCCCCTTCTTTCTAGACCCTTGCACAGTAAAACACTGAAGTCTTAGGGATGCTTTTGACCTATGTTTTGTGGATCACAGCGTGTACAAAAATGCAACAAATAGAACAAAGCACAAAGGTGGATTTCAAATAAGTTGAAGCTCACGCAAGCTAAAATATCCTGTAGCATATGGTTACTTTAAAAAGTAATTTCAACCTAAACAGTGCCTAAAACAGCACCATGAGGTTTATCTCCTCACACATTTTTCACTTAAAATATGATCAATTTTCAAACAATTTATAACTACCTGCTCAAAAGAGCTAGTCTATATTGACACTGGACAGGTTTTCCTCATTTCCTTCCAACTACTCGCTACTAGTATTGATGATAGAGCAATCCTCAAAGTACTTCTGAGTATTTTTGAGTATTCTGGGCTTTTGACTTGTGATTCTATAATCCAATTTACCTGAAAAACTGCACAGATATAAGTGAGGACACAAATTAGTTTCATACAGAGATTAGGTTTAATTATATTTTTAACATGTCTTTCATTCACATGAAAAATTCCACTGCAGCTTTATGTACCTCAACTGTTCTACACTGCAGTCAATTTTCAGGTAACAGAAGTGATGTCATAAGTCTAAGTACTTGAAATACTATGGAATAAAATAAAGTTTCGCTTCTGTTTTCCCCATTAATTCGAGTCCCTCATTCTCATCATCAATGAGCACAAATGAAATAAAAAGGTTTCTTTAAAGACCATTAATGATCATGAGAAAAGCATTTTCAGCAAGTGTTAGGTATTTGTGTATTGCTCATTTGCATACCCAAGAAAATTCAAACGCATGCAAGGGAAGAGCCAAGACAAATGTAAAGCTTTCCTGCTTGAAGTAAAGGTTTTATTAACCTGATTTCCATTTAAGTTGCATAGACTCGCTCTAGAAGAATCCCTTTAAAAAAGCCTTTTAAAATTAACAACAGTTTTCCAAGCTGAGCAAATTTTGCCAAGTGGCAGTTGTATAGAAATTTGCATATAGCAAAAAAAAAAAATGTATCTTGATTTGAAGCTGAAAGCATTGTCAGCAAAATTTGCAGAGTCTTCAAGATTTAGAGCTAGCCAGTCTCCTTTCACTTCCTACACCTTAACTTTCAGTGGCTACAGAAAATTTCTGGCACTTTAAAAGTCAGAGAGTAACTTGTGAAAAGTTAGTGTTGTGATTTTTTAATGTTAGCAATAGCTATGTAAAGTCTTACCTGCTGCTTGTTGCCTTTCCGTGTTAGCATGACAAATGGCATCGTGTCTCCAGACTCCGATTCTCCTTCCCCACCTCCAAGTGGGGGCCCCTTCTTTAGCTGACTTTTGAGATGCAGAGGAATGGCAACGTCCAGCTGATGTACTTTAACAGATTCTCCACTCCGTTGCTATTTAAAAAAGAAAAAAGGAAAAAAAAAGGCAAGTGATCACATGCTAAAAATACCCCAAAGCCTGGCAATGTTCACGTTTTCATGACTGGGAAAAAAGTCTGTAACTGAGTGCAGCAAGGATCTGTCATGAAGGTGTTTCTAAATGCTTTACTATATTTATAAGGCTTCAGTCATCTTTTTTCTTTTTAAGAATGAAGGAATGTCTGAAAAATGTCCTTTTAAAAATAGTATTCACAGATGAAATATCAATTTTATTGTATTCTGTTTCCTTGAGGCTTTTGTCTGTTTGGGGCTTTTAAAATATTTGCAGGAATACTGACACTGTTCCAGATTGACTTCATTCCTCTATCTCTGCTTTTCTCTCCATTATCTCATCTGGCAGGAAACAGATGCACCTGTTTTAGCTTAACAATTTAGCTCAGTTTAGCCCTTCTACCTAGAACAGGTTATAAGGCAAAACAAAACAGAACAAAAAAGAAAAGCAGCCTGCCATCAACCTGTTATGATTTTCATATTTTTTCCCCACTTCAAAAGAGACTTTGTCTACAAAGGTGGACAGTACAAAGCCTTATTCAGAGAAGGAGCAACAGACAACAGTTGTGCAGAAATGACAGTTAAAGGCACAGAAGAGGCCTGAGGTAAGTAAAAGAATCCATATTGCTTGGTATAGTAAGCTATGCATTGAACACTTATTTTCTGAAAAAATCAGCAATGGCCCATTAGGCAGTAAGTCACGTTTATGGAGGAGGTACCAAATTCAGATTTGTACCTGAAGATTTTCCAGCATCATTTTATCTAAGGCCTGAATGAAGTCCTCATCTTCTGCACAGGGGACATGCTTGAGTCCTCCTCCTTTAATCATTACTTCCTATGACAATGGAAAAAAAAAGTTGCATTAGAGTCATTTCAGAAACACGAACATTCAGCCTAGAAATAAAAGGAAAAATAATCTCGTTGCTCTATGACACATATAATCAAGATTAAAAAAAATAATAGCAAAAATAAATTGTTAGAACAAAAGGCTTCCAACCTGGACTATTTTATGCCAAAAATATTTTCAGAAGTTTACTGCTACAGTTACGAAGATGAAACATGGAAGATATTCTGACATACCTGCATATGTCATTTTTGATATGACGACAATACAAAGAAAAGTCTCTCTCTTCCCCGCCTACATGTCATTTTTTTTTTCCTTGAAACCCTTAGTAAATGAGCCAGTTTCTTCAGGAAAATGACTATCCTTCAGCATTTGGAAAGCTCCATCTGACAAAAATTGCACTTAACATGCCTCTTGGTACACAGATAAGGCTTATACAGTGGGACCTGCACCACTGTTTACCCCAAGGCTTACAAATAAGTGTTCTCCTAAGTCAGCAACACCTGTCACTAAGCAACACTGAAGTCTCTTCAGAACACTTAATAGCACAGACCACAAAAAAATCCTACTTTTATTTACAGCTCTTCAAGTTAGCACCTCAGTTTGTTGCTCTGTCACGATCATTACTTCCTATGGAAGTCAGGAGCTGTTAGGTTTTTTTGCTATAGATGTTGGGATCTGCCTCTTCCTCCTCTGTTACAAGAATCTTGCTCTTCTGGGTTTCTCTGCTTTTCACTTGTAGTACAGATGTAGTGCAGAACAACCGATTTACTTTGTTGTCCCACATCAATTTGCCACCATTCCTGGCATAGCAAAACTATCACACAGCTTCGTCTAGTCCAGCTAAAATGCACAGTCCTACCACAACATCTTTTAATAGCGTCATGACGGCATGAATGCTTACAGAATGTAATAATGAAAGCTTGTAAATACAAAAATAAGCTCAAAAATGCATCTGAAAGAACAGTATGTAGAGTTTTTATGTTCTTTTTCAAGACAGATGAGCAGTATTGGCTAAAAAAGACTCAGGAAAAAAAATTGATTTTTTGCATCTTATCTGAAAATAAAAAGTAAAAAATAAATAAGAATTACACATACTGTATTCTCCTCATCTGTTTCATTTTCCTTATTGGAGTCCGTAAGATAATCAGTATTTTCTTCCTCCTCCTCTTCACCCTCTTCTTCCTCATTGTCAGAGCCCTCCTGGAATATTCAGTATTTATAATGTAGAAACATAGAATCATTATGGTTGGAAAAGACCTTCAAGATCATTGAATCCAATCATGTGATAATAATATAATTTCTGCTTATTTTAAAGGTAGTTACACATATTTGTTATTTACATCCCTTAGAATACAAAGCACTTTACAGCTGATTTACTCATCTTCATTGACAATGCACTGCTGTCCGTTCCCAGTGATAAAAACACTCCAACACACCTTTCTGCTTGAAAAAAATCCACTTATGTCCAATTCCTCACAAACATTCTCTACATCTCCCCCTCATTAGTGTTCAACTATAGCAGAGTTGCATATTGTGTTTTATTTTTAGTGTTTCTTAGTAATTCAGAGCCTGAGCCCAGTCTTATTTGGTGTTTTGGGGAATAAACATTATGAAATTGGGACAAGAGAGAACAGAAACACACTAAATCACTAAAGATTAATCGAAAAAAAACCCTGCAAGAAAAAGTAGCTATATTAAAATCATCTTATCAAGTAAATTCTGTCTCAATTGCCACAATAAAACATTCTGTTTGCTCCCTATTTCCTTAATAAATTCATTTTCCCATAATACTACCATTAGCATGTCAACTTTGCTGCGTCACAGTGACAAGAGGGAATTTCTGTGTACACGCCTGCTTTTTCTATTGGCTAGCCCACTTTAATTTACAAGATTACTGGCACAGTAAACAAGGAAGGTTGATACACACGATAAATCTTCTATTTATTCATATTATACAGGCATACTTTGGACATCTGTTGTTTTTCCTACGATGGCTTTGAGATCTAGTCAATACATTTGCTGCTACGGGAGATATAGGAAGGGCTCTGGAAGTGATTTACTCCAGAAAACTTAGGGCTACGCAAGCCCTGAGCACAGTGTCAGGTTCGAGTTTCTGCTATATTTTTTCTGGAATAAACCTCATTTCGTATTGACTTTGCATATATACGTGACTATAATTTAGTCTCAAATCATTGACTGTTGATTTTTTCTTTAAATGCAAGGCTAACGCAAAGCAAGGAAAATAACAGCCCACCTCTTCCTCTGGTTCGTTTACTTCACTTTCATTTCCAGATTGTTCCTCTGTCTCTGCTCCACCTTCTTCTTCCTCTTCATCCTCTTCTATATTCTCTCCTTCTGTAATGGAATCTTTGGAATCTTTGTCATTCACAAGTCCTGAAATTTGAAATAAATAAATAAATAAATCAGAACAAATAACAACCTTTGCCTGTACCATTAAAGCAGTATTACACCTCGAGTTCTTCAAAAACTACTTGAAAGCATTCAAAGAAACGCTTCTTTGAAACAGTGTAGGTATTCAAGCTTTCCAATGTTTTTGTCAATATAGAAATCACAGATGATGGTACTTTAACTTGCTATAGGTCTATTAGCCATTTTGAAAGAGCCAATTTCTCAGCCCATAACGAAGCCTTTCAGAAAGATTTGTTACACATTTAAATCTATGAGGATGAACTAAAGTGCCCTGCATAAAGAGTGAGAAATCAGAGTCCCTTTCAGGAATATTATCTAGTGTCTTCATTGCACTTACTGAGAGAATGGTCCTGTGTGCAAGTGAAAAGCAAGTTTTAACACCAGGACTCCAACGTCTGAAATGTTAAAGGCTTTGGAGAGCATGATGAAAAGTAATTTTAATTCTGATTTAGAGCATCACATTACGTTACACAGCTACAAGAGAATTAAGCAGCATTTCAGTGTCCAATTTAGTCTTTGAGATAATTATCAAATTGTTTTCAGAGAACATATTTAAAAATTGAGCATGGTTCTGAAATTCTGAAAAAAACAGTTTTTGAAAAACAGCTATTGCTGGCATCAGTGCAAGACAGAAGAAACTTCCAGTACACAGTACTCTTTTCATACACACTTAAATTTTGTACATTGACCTGCAAAGCTACTTAATCCTCCAGAGGATCATGGCCTGAGCTGGCAGGAAGTAGGGCTTATGCCAGCCTTCTGCAACAGAACACATCTAATGCAGTATTTTTTCAAAAATTCAGTTAAGGAATAAACATACTCGCTATACATGTTGTCATTCAGATTTCAAAAATGTGCACACTCTGTACTTATGGTTAACCGTTAGCTTAGGGCTTTGGAACAGCAAAAGAATATGTAAGTTGTGTGCTCCTGGCACTCCTTGGTTGTTCTTTACAATGAAAAAATATTCTAATGCAGTGAATTGAGGCTTGGAGACCGTGGTCATGGGCCACTCACGCTCAGTCTCTGCACGTGTGTCCGTACATATGTGTTTGGGGAAGAATGTCTTGGTTTTACAATAGTTATGACCATAAAAGGGGACTTGTAGTGGAGCTCGGCTCACTGAAGACTGATCCCCATCAGGCCCTTGAGAACTTCCTGTCTTTACTTCCTAACTCTTGTTGACTTGTCCTGAAAGTTTTCAGAGAGAAGGAAAAAAACCCAGCAGGATTAGGACTGTAAAACTCCTTTTGAGAAAGCAAGGCTTGCACAGCTATCAACTTGCAGATCATTTGGAAGAGAAACCTGCTTTGATATAACCCAGTTTATTGCACAATTCTGTGTTGTAACAACACTGTAACAATGTCACTAGTAGCACATACAGTATAAACATTTCAACATTTGGGAGGTTTTCAGACCAAACATTCTACCAAACAAGCATTACTATCTAGACATACACCATGAATCCATCAATGGAGGATCTAATTGTCATTGCATCCTTTTAATCAAATACTATGGTTTCAAGTCTACTTCTACCTTTAAGTTCAAAACAGTACAAAATGGTACTGTTTATGCACCCTAATATAGCAGTTATGACCCAAATCATTCCTCAGCTTCAAGAGCAAGTGCAGGTGTTCACCATTCTTAACCATAAATCCGAACTCTCAGCAGAGAAGCTGTTGGGGGACATTAGATCTTTTTTGTGTCACCTCCTTAGTGGGTGCCTTAGTGGGATGTGACATGCAGATAACAGCCAAATCTCTTTCAAAGATCTCAAAATCCAACAGCTAAGGTCAAAGATGAGCTTTACAGCCAAGTTTAAGTTAAGCAGAAATAAGACAACTCCATGCATGGCCATAGGGTATGTAGTGAGGATTTCAATTCTGCGCAAACACACACACACTCGCTTCTTCACACACCACAGGTTTCAAAGCATCCTTTTTTTTTCCCAATTTGGAAATTTCACACTGTTCAAAACCCGTGCTGCTCCGCACAGGCCCACGAGCTGCTGGAATCGCTCTTGGTATCTTCTCCCCAGCGCAAAGTCACCGGGGTGGCACAGGAGCCAACGGGCTCGAAGCCACCGCAGTGCCCAGCACCAGCCCAGCACACACAAGGATTTAATTGCAAATGAGAAGCGGCAGAAAAACAAACTTCTTTAATGGTTATTTTTCAACACTGGTGAATACTCATTGAGAAATCCCTACTAAGCCACACTGAGCCCTACTGCTGCAACAGCAGTGACTCAGAGAGCAGAAGCCACCACGATTTGCATGAAGAAAATGCTGAACATCTTTCAAAACAATATTAAAATTTACGTAGCCAATTCCAAGCTACTGCTTGGCTACATCTGAGATCAAAGCTAGTAATTGAGATCACACCATAATGATTTTTTCACCTGCATCTTATTTATTATATAGCTAATTTTAAAGCATGTCTACTAAATAAAGAGCATTTAAACACAAATTCCTCCTAAAATGCAAGTTGCAACATTTAACCTGGCAACTGCATAAAGTCATCTCAGTGGATAAAAAACATTATTCTGAAAATTGGACCTAACTAGAAGTGCTCATAAGGCTATAATTGACACTTGCAAAAACCCCAAATCTACATATAAAAGCCTGTCATGAAAAAAAAGGTCAGCAAATAAAAAAAATTAGAAAAACAGATCCATTTAATAAGAAATGAGCTTCTTGTTTCCAATAGCTATTAACAAAGCTGTGTACAAAAGACTAAGGTTAATATGATGACAAACACCAGCCAAACAAGTGCTCTACACTAACAGCAACCAGGATTCCATCACCCGAGCTATGCTCCACACTTGGCATTGGATCCTCAAAACACCCACTTTTAACACAGGTGTTTTAGAACAGTTCATAAATAGGCATCACTCAAGACTGAGCAGGATTTACTAGCTAACACACTGCCTACTACATACATTTTAAGAAAAAAACAGTTTAATCCAAGCAAAGCTCAGTTACATGAAAAATATCATCCTCTTGCTGCTACTGAAACATAAGCCCAGTTAAAAAAAAAAAAAAAAGAAGGGAAATAGAAGACGCAAAATTATCCTGACATCATTTTAAAAGCAAAACTTGTTTTTTTCCTTATTTTACTGTAGTTTCATGCTAAAGCTCTCCTTAACAGCAGCTCTGGTGAAGTCCAGAACTAGGGACGTTGCAAACAACCAAGAAAGCTGAGCACTAAGGTGGCTTAGATCAGTGCTCATCAACCCACAGTCCCAGGAATGGGGTGGGCAGATACTCCAGGCTCCAGTAAAAGTTCCTAATTATTTTTCCTGAAAAGGTCCTCCTCATCCTTTTCACCATATTATACATGGACCAAATGATCACAGTACTGACCATTTTTGTTTTACTCACATCAATTTAGAATTATGTGGACTCTATTTGGACATCTGAAAATGCACAAGAAACAAAATCAAAAAAAATTTTCATCAAGTTAGATCAGTTGATTTGAATGACAAAAGTTACATATCAACACAATGGAAATAACTTTAAGAAATCCAGGATTTGTCTAATAGACAACTACTCTTCCATATATCCTTACCTAATTTTATTAGGAATTCTCGTTCCAAGTCTTGCACCTGTCTTATAGCTTCTTCCAGAGAATTGCAGAGCTTTATCTTTGGTCTCAGCAGTTCCAGGGTATCACTGATCATATAGTCAATGTCTATAGGAAATGGATGGTCTTTTGTCCAAACATCCAAACTCTTTTTCCACCAAACATAGCGCTAGAATGTAAAGTATTCAAATAAGTTGTGTGTAGACATTTTAAGCCATTTGACTTATTTAACCTTGTTATGTCTAGCCACATTTGCTCAGCAGAAAATATAGAACATCTCAAATCACTGATCTTTCATTTCATATAACTATTAGATATTTTGAAGGCACTAAATAAATTATATGAGTCTTTTCTGGTTTTGAAACATGGATTTTCATTTTAACCCTGCCTTTAAGTTGGAACCACAGACATGAGGATATCGTAACAACCGCTGAAAACACAAAAGACTGAACAAAAAGGTGCTGGTGTGAAAGCATCTAAGGACAAACTCTTTTGATGAGATGTGTCCTTAGCAACTATCCACTTCAGCTTTCAAATCCTCTCTCTTCACATTTTAAAGAAAATTCAGTCCCTTGATGCTTAGCATAAAAGGCAAGGAAAGGGAGAAAACACAGAGAGCAAGAGGCTTAACACTCCAGTTATCATAAAGTGAAGATTTAGCATCCAGTTATACAAAGATTTTTAACAAGTTAGCACAAAAAGTAGAATTTGAGAACAGAGAAGTTACAAAACTGTATCTGAAAATAGAGCATGAACAACTTATTCAAATGTTAGGGTGTAGTAAGAATATGACTTCTTTGGTGCCAAGTTTATTTTAGGTTTAAAATGGTTTATTATAGGTTTAAAATACAATACTTCTTTCCATCTCTTATTCAGATAACTAAGCATATGCATCCCCAAAGGTGTGAGATAAGTCACCACCACTGTAATTTGGTTCATTTTTTTAATATCTCTGTATTAGTATCTTTTAAAGAAAGAAGCAGAAGGAAAATGGAAGCCAGTCCAATAAGACTTAGCATTAACTCTAGGGACTGGAATTCCACATTTCTCAGGACAGCCTGTTCTAGTGTTTAAACCCTTTCACTATGAAACCTTCCCCTGCCACCCTAACGTCTAGATCATAACTTGCTCTGCTGTGGCTTGTACTGGGCAACTAGAGAAGCATCCAAGGACCCAACCCCTTCTGCACAAAGCTGTTCATTTCCATCAACCTATTTCTCCACTTGGCAAAAAGCCCCTGAAAAGCTGTCCTAAACCTCCAGTGCACCAACTGCTACTCCCATGTTCTGCAGTTGTTGGACCAACACTTCACTTATACAACTGAAGACGTATTTCACTTTGAAATAAAACAGCTACAAAATTGAGAGGATTTTAAAAATTACAGTTCTAGAAAGCATTCAGAAAGGTAGATAAGAACATGGTGACTTTAAATACATTAAGTTGTTAAAGAAAGCTATTGAAAAAAAAAATTCAGTTCATTTATACCTGAAAGTATACTAGGAAGCAATCAAGTTTTCGTTTGCTGGATCCTCTGTCAAAATACTGTCCACAGGTATCCAGGATGGTGCAGACTAGTCTAATCCTGAACAGATGCTCCGGAGGATCCAGGGGACTAGGGCTGCCGTCAGGGTTCACTCCGAAGGATGTGAACGAATACAGAGTTCGAAATATTACAGCCGACTCTACCATTCGGTAGTTGTAAAGCTCTCCCAAAAACTTGGCACTGCTGATGCGCCGTTGGTTAAACTTTGGCTGGTTAACCTTAAAGAAATAAAAAGCCCCCCAAAACCACACATTTATTTTAGTGTAGATACTAAATAGTAATAGAATCTCTATAAATACACTTTTAGAAAAAACAGTATAAACAATTGTCAGAATTTAAGATAAAAGACTTGTAGGCCTATATGCATTGTATAATTCAATATTTAGAAGTAGTGAAGACAGTTATGAAATGTGGCCAGCTAGAAAGTATTGTAGGTGTTCAAATACATGTAATAATCTGAAGCCTGTGATATTTCCATTCCCCAGAAAAAGTTTAATTAAAACCTCTATCAAAACATGGGCTATTTTCCAAAGTGACTTGAAGCTGCATGAATGTGACTGTACTGTGAAAGAAGAAACTGTACCCTCATACCATGGTAAGCAGGCAAAACAACCATCCCAGTAATCTGCATTGATTTTTTTTTTAAATGAACCAAACCAAATCAAACAACTGAAAGACAGGTAGAAAAGTCATGAGTCAGAAAAATCCAAAATGTAAGGAATCTTTTCTGTAAGCATGACTATTTTATTGTTTTCTTCCTTTCCATAATGGAGAGATCAGTATGGCTTTATAAAAAGGATATTTTTTACCTCCATTCCTAGGCGAATATCCTCCAGCACTCCATCCACAACATGGATCCCAACATCTTCCTGGTAAAGGACCAACCCAGCTAAGAGGTTGGCTACACAGTGAATACTATTGTATTTCACATTCCAGATGTTAATCATACAGCATATGACATAGTCTTTCACTTCTGCATCCTGCCAAGGCAGCTTGCGCATCTGTCTCAGAACCTACACAGAATTTTAAGATAAGTTTATTGGAAATGTTACCTCTTAACTGTTATTCACCTTCATTTCCTCTCTCTCATGGTTGGGATGAAATCCCTACATGCATCTACAAGTGTTTTTCCAAACATCTTCCATTTCTACAGTAGCTATGGAAAACTTCAGGTTTACAATAAAACTGCTGTCCTCTGGTTACTAATCAAACTGTTTAAATCTGTTTCAGAATTTCTTTGCTCTTATATCTCTATATACGTGGTCTCTTCTCTTCACTCTGAAGATCATACATTTAACAAAGATGATAAATTTATTCTCTACTTGTTTTTAATGCTATGGAGAATGTAGGTCCACGGTTACAGTACCTATGTAGTATAGTAGAAGAAATAAAACTACATTAATCACCAGGGATAAAAATGATCCCTTTACCTTGCAAATGAAAAAAAAAAAAAAAAACTGCCCCTGCCTCTCCAAAAATTAATAGGAAATCAGTTCATATATATATAAAAAAAAAAAAAAAGACACAAAGATATAAGATATACCTTCTCTGTGGTGACCTTGGAGAGGTCCTTGTAAAGCAGCTTACGAATATACTCCTGCAGGGGAGGACGCTTCTTCTTCACAGTTTTCTCAGCTGGAGGAGGGTTACAGTAGTAGTAGGCATTTTCCACCATCGTAACGTAGCGTGCATCAAGATGCATGGCTTGTTTTTTTCTCATCATTTGTTCCTGGAAACAAATCCAAACAGTCACTTTAAGATGTTGAGATGCAACAATTTTCAAACCAAAGGCTTTTACTGCTGAGTTTAGAATAAAGAAACGTGAGGAGTTCCAAAATAAATAAATAAATAAATAAATAAAACCTTGAGTACAGAGATGAAAGGACAAAGCAGCTATATAGTTCTGTGCTGTTATTTCTAAGATCACTTTTACTTACAATCCCTATTTTTACAAAGAAACCCCCCAAATAGGTTTCAGAAGAGTTATTTGAAGTTTCATCAGAAATCTAAGTGTTCCTATTTATACAAAACATGACTTTAAGTCACTAGAGTTACAAACCACTTGACTAACAGGAAGTAGCTAAAATACTGATTGCTGTGCATAAGCATAATGAATCAATGCAAGAAAGCCAGCTGGCATCTTATAGCAGTACAAGACTCAAGAAAGTTCATACTGATGGTTTAAGCAAAAGCATTTTTCTTATTACATGAACCACTGTTGCCATTTACCCAAACAGAAGAGCCTGCAACAAAAACAGGACCTTAAAGATGCATTTCAGCAAAATCAGGTCAATTAAAGCTCTACAATTCTTCCTACAATTGTGATTAAAAAGTACTTTTTTGGTCCTGGTGAGTTTTCTACTAAACTTGAATAAATTCAGGTTTCTTCTGCAAGGAGTTTACCCAAATAGCTTCTAAATGTCAATTTTAGGCCGCTAATTCCATGAGGAAGAAGAATTTTGCACAATCCTGCAACCCAACATAGAGACTATTTTCCTCCTTAGACTGTGTGCATCTGTTGCCTGGAAGCGCCGAATCAGACACAAACCCCAAGGCATTTCATTTTTAACCTTTTCCATGACACAAATGACCTCTTTTGATTACCTAATAAGGCTCGCTCTTTCCAAATTGGACACTTCTCTTGAGGGATAGCAATTTTACCTATGCTTTCTTTTTTTAAGAGGTGCACAGCACTTCAGCAAGTACCTAGATTTGGTTTTTGCGCTGTTTGCACTCAGTGAGGAAAGTCAGTTGCTTCCACTTGATCTACAGAGAAGCACCCCACCACTGAGCCACTATGCAGCTTAAATTATAAATGTAATTAATGCAATGTCACTTTTATTTAAGCTGGAAAAGACAATTTGATACAGCTGTGAGTTGAACTTTATCAAAAAATTGTTAAACCAAAAATACTTTAAACAAAATGTCCTAACACAATAATTTAACATGATTAAGTAATGAGAATCATATATTAATTTAGTACTGATCTTCCTACTAAAGCACCAAGCAATGCACTTATCAATAAACCAATCTGACAGCCAAGATGGCTTCACAGTAATATTTTAAAATTGCATAAAGGACACCAAATTTGAAAGATGTCCCAAAAAGAACAAGTAATAGAATTAAACATTGTCCCAAATAAAAATAAGTATTAACAGAAATATTGTTACCCTCTAAAATGATTTTTTTCATTCCCACTGTTAAGACATCTTTAAATAATTTGCAAAACACCACATCATTCAATGGAATTAAGAGTTTCTCTAGAATGAAATCAGGTAGTCTGCACCTGTCTTGTGCAACATAATTAATTGAAGGGGAAAAAAATTATTAAAAGCCATTTTTAGCTATTACTTTCTTGCACACCCTGCTGAAGTAATGTTATCTTCAATATTAGACATACAACCTATTCTGCAGTGAAGATTAAGGCAAATCATTATTTAGAAGATCAACAGGCCTTAACTCCACCTGTAACACTCATTGGTAAGACTGGCTTTACATCTACTTCATTTTTTCCACAAGATCCCAATTAATTTGCCTTGGGAATCATCTTTTCAACAGTCCACACTGATCAGTACCATAAACCTATGATCCAATTTGTATAATACTATTTAAGTCAAAATCAGATCTCTGTCTTGACTGTAGGGCAGTATTAGAAGACACGTGCACCGAGATAAGAGCTGATAGGGCTCAGTTCATCTTCAGCAAGTGCCCAGGTGGTGCAAAAGTGGCAGGAGTGGTTGATAGAGCAGATGGTTGATCTGCTCTTCAGAGGGACCTCAGCAGACCAAAGAAATAAACTGGCAGGAATCCCCTTACATTCTTGTGAGCCAAGAACCTGGAGTTAACATGTTCATTCCCTTCTTTTTGCAACTACGCCACTGCAGTGAACAGTATCACAGTCAAGGTTATAACTAGATGAACAAAAGGTTCAGAAAGAAATGGAATTTTGTGGGGAAAAAGAAAAAAAGACCAATACACCACAGGATGCAGCAAAGGCTGCTACTATTAACTCTGCAGAACGAGTAGGGAGGACATGGATACAAGGAAGACCTATCAAGTGTAAGGCTAGTCTTTGCTAAGATAAGAGATGAGGATAGGAGAAATGCAGTGATATTTTACAGCTTTGAAGAGCTGTGCCTCTACATAGATTTCTAACACTTAAACCACTCACTTCCACAAGAGGAAACATCATTCCCTTTCTTCTCCAAGGCTAGAGAATAATTTCTTTAAAAATAGCTTGTTTACTGCTGATACTGCAGATACGTCTATAGTCTTCTGCACAGATTTGAAGGTCAGAAGGGAACTCTGAACAGTCTAGTCAGACTTCTAATACAAAGTGGTTTATTAGCTCGTCTGTATCTGCTTAAGAAGATTCTCATTTTAATGCAATTTTCTAATGTTGATATCCATCTTAAAACACTTTTTTGGTCCATGTTTGAATCGGCCCCTTACTTTGGACACTGAATTTTATGACCTGCTCTCAATCTAAGAAACATTATTCAAGGCTAAAATTCATATACTACAAATTTCAGAGACCCAATGCTAATCCTTTCATTATGTTTAATTTTTTGCTGGTACTTACCTAGATATGTAGATGACACTTCTATTCTCACCTTAAATACAAATCCCAATTTCTATAACAGCTTCAAGCCTTCATAAATTTGTCCTTCATATTTATAACTCCAGATTATAGCTCCCAGAGAACAGAAACCTCCTACCTGGGCTATTTTAACTGGAAATAAAGAGGGTGTCATTATCTTCTGGTTTATCAGCTAGCCCTTTCATCCTCAAATAGCATCTTTTGTGCGTGTGCACACACACACTCTCAGATTCAGCCTTTATACTCCTTCAACTGCATTCTCGTTTTTTGCCCCATCTGTGTACAGCTACACATCACCCAAATGTATTATTTGTAGCTGGAATGCAGTATCCTTTTACTTTAGAGACTTAATCCTCTATTTATGCTTTATTTGAAGTGGGGAACAGATTCACAGGGCAACTAGATTTCTCTTGAATATTTTGAGCACTGTTCTCTCTGGAGGCGCAGTCTGAGAGCCGGGACAGCACTGGACAGGCTGTATAAAGTAAGATGATACAAGCCCACGGGAATGCAGGTAAATGGCAGTATCACCAAAGCAGACTAGGACTTAAACGTATCTGAAAAATAGACCTTCTCAGCATCCTCTCTGCCATGGAAAGGAACATTTCAGAAAAGAATGATTCTTCTTCCTCTTGTACCTGACTCAGTTTTTGTGAATCTCCAAGGTAAGATAGGAGTCTTGTGGCACTAAAACTGTATTGAAGTTTAGTAGGATGATAAAACTTAATGAAGATTTTCATTGGTTCCTCATCGAATATTGTTAGCTGCCTTTTAAGATATTAATTGCAGTGATTGTTATAGTCAGAGCACATTGCAAAGCAAGAGGATAAAAGAAATAATTAGTTTTGTTCAGTACATGCTCTCCTCTCAATAAGAGTTTTCTTCTCTTACCAAAAGAACACTGGTCCTTAAGTGGGATTCTGGTGATCTGAACAGAAATCTTCCACAGGTTTCCAGCAGAGTACAGGCCATTTCAATGTGGTGATGAGAAAAGTCTGACAGAAGCATCTGGGGCATATTCACATAGAAAACATTACTGTAACACAATTTTCTGTAGTGGAAAAATATGTTTATCTCCTCCACTTTTACACTTTTCCCCCCCTCCTCTTTTTTTCTTCAAAAGGAATATGGAATATTAAATTGATTCTACTCCTTCATTTTCACCTTCCAACCTTAAGCATTCTATGATTCTACGATCCAAAATACAATTGAATAGTTATCAGCATACAAATCAAGATGACATACCTAGAGATTTATGTTTTGAGAGAGAGATTAAGATTGATTCTGTTCCTCAAAAGTACCTGCTAGGATAAAATATAAGCCTCTCTCTGCAACCAGTGAAAAGGTTTCTCCTTCCTACCCTGCCTCTACTGGTTATTTGTTACAACATCAATTTAAATCAACTCAACAAAAAGAAAACCCCAGTTACAGTTTTGCAACAAATATATGAATAATATCACTAATATTATTTTCAACAAATAATGGATGTATAAATAGAAACTCTACCATCCTTCACATAGAAAAATCATTAGTAATTTGGTTCTACTGTCCAAAGACAAAAGTATATTTTAATAAACTCAGGCTATCATTGAATTCAAGCTTCCCAATTTATAAGAATGTCTATAATAAAGCACCTTTATAGACAGAAGCAGCAGAGATTTAAAATACCATGTACAATGAATTAATTGATAACACCAGCAGTGGGAACATGAAGGCAAATGGGATGGATATGCGTTCGCAGCAGGTACAGTAACACACTAATATTACAACCCCTACCTTTAAACAGTGGAGAGTATCATTTTTTGAGAACATCTTGAATTTGGTAAGCTCACCAATAAATCTCACAGTTTTATTCTTTGTTTCAATATTGATCTGGTCCTTTTTTCTCACCTAAAAAAAGGGACAATGCATTTGATTTTAGGTCATCAAAAATACCTTTCAAGATTACTTTCAGCTCAAAGTACTTTGCAAGCTTGGGAAGTGAGAAGTTTTTGGTTCCTTATACTCTAATCTTTGGATTTCTGAAAACTTTCTCTACTATTTTGTTTCGTCAGAAGCTTTGGGACTTTTTTCCCCTCACCTCACAGAAAACTCAGTCCTCTAACATACCAGGAGTTATGGAAACACACTAATTTGGCCATTCCCCTTTGCTAATGGTGAACTAGCAGTCAGGTATTCTAGACTCTAAATCAATAAAACCACTGCTCTTCTATTTCTAAGTGTAATCATGTTCAGCAAAATACAAATTATGATATTCTTCCACAATACCCGTTATTTTCTTGAGGACAAATAGTTAATTTTAGATAGCTTAAAAAAAGACTCGAACTATTTTTAGTAATTCATGTATTACTTCAGTGGCTATCAGAAAAATGGATTTCAAAATCTGTAAAGTAAACCTCAGAAAACACTGAAGGGGTCTTCACTGAGTAATGTAACTAATTCTATTAAAAAAACACTTAAAAGATAGTGGCAGAATTAACATTCAAAGTCATCTGCAAGGAATGAAAAATTTGATTTTCATCACACAGTTGAACATTAGTTGTTCCTGTTAAAAAGAATAGATGTTTTAGAATTAATGGATATTTTCATTAATTATATTGCAACAGTAACCTTGTGGGAAAGGCTACCATTAGTATAGGCCAAATCTGATTCTATTTGTAAGTTATTAAATATAGAAGAGCTCTGCAGTTGAGCACATTTTTTTTCAGTTTTGCTGTCATTGTTTTATCATGTAACAATTTGGTTTCACTTTATTTAACATTAGAGAATGAAGATGACACAGCAAACAAAGCATATATATATGTACATATATATACATACATATATAGGTACACATATAATAGGCTATAAAAAAGTAATATTACATCACTGAATTTTAGCATTAGCATTTACCAAATATGAAGGACTATTTTGTTTTTTTTCCTGAGGAAAAAGTTTTCAGGTTGATTAATCTGAACACAAAAATAACCAAAGTAACAAAACATACATGAAACCTGAAGTCCCCTCTCAGCATGGAGCAAAGATCCTCTGCTACATCAGACATACAAGGATGCAACGTGGCCACCAGCCTGGCATAGAACGGTAGCAAATCCAACCTGCAAACAGAGGTTACACACACCAATAAACAAAATGCAAAGCTAGTTTATGTTCTAGAGGATGACTGGGTATATACTGACAATTATGTACATATATTTCACCAGCTCATGCTGTAAGTTGCAATATCATTTTAAAATAACAATTCAAAAAGGTGTATTACCCCATCCTATTAGAATGCTTCATAACTGATCTGCTTTCAAATTCACTGTTTTAAGTGAAATGCCAATTGCTGTCTTAACTATGGAATTGGTAGCTTTTTCTCCACTCCCCCTATTATCTTTCAGAAATTTCAAAATACCAAAACACAGACTTGATTGGTTTGCAAAAATGGGAGAAATTTCTTTAAATGCTGATTCATAGTATCACATAATAGAAGAGAGAACGTAACCCAGAGCTGCTTTGCCTAGATGTGCACATATGCCACTTTTAGATGCAGAAACCAATTGTGCAAGTCTCACGCACAAGCTGTATTATAGCGAGGAAATTGTCAAAAAAAAGTTATTTACAAACATTGTATTGGTGGAAATAGAGGATGAACTCTAGGGAAAAAAAAAAAGATACTGTCACAACTAGAATGAAACAAATTTACATTTAATTAAAATGAGAAATTCTGAGTATGGGAAAAATGGACCTTTCTTCAGGTTACACTTTATGAAGGATTAAGGTTGCCTTTACTACCAGACCAAAAAAATAAAGATACTGCCAGAGAATTCTGAAAAGCACGTTAGAAATAAATACACACTGAGCTTGCCCTGTTACAAGAATGAGATCAGAGGCAAGGACAAGGAGAGCAGCAAGACAACCCTCTCAAAATAAAGAGCATATTGCACAACAGCAGCAGCAGAGGGGAGAGCGATGCTGGAGCACGTTTCCACGACCTTCAGTATCCATACACAGAAAGGATCATTATGTATTTACATCATGGTCCGGCAAAACTGGAATATAGCTTTGTTCTTTCCAGGTATAAAGTGACCTGCTAATAAAATTCCTGGTGAGACATTATAGGTATCCCAGTTACCTATTTAACAGAGTTTTATTCTTTCTTGTTAACCAGTAACAGAACCAGTATTTACATTTTTCAAGCTTGTTGAAAAACCACAGTCAAGGAAGATCAGCTGCTGCAAATTACTATCATATTATTAAATGTCTAGCTATTAACTCAGAGAAGTGAAGATCTCATTGCTTCACACACATTAATTTAATTAAAGGAAGACTTTGGTCGAGTTGAGGTGCATGTTTTAATCAAGGGGATTTTTTATGGCATTTCTTTCAAAGCAAACAGCAGAAAGTTGTATTCTGATCTGAGCACGTACCTGCCTGCTGAGAGCTAATAATTTCATCTCTGTAAACCAAACACACCTGGGGAAAAACTCAATCTGAGAGCCCATTGTTGGTGCTCCAACTCAGAACACAAAAGGTTTCTTCATGGGGAAAAATACTATGACTGGATATTTCTACACAGGTGAAATATAAGGTGGAAAAGCCTGGGGTCAATTACTGTGAAACTGGCAATCACTGAATGTGTTTGCACTCGCCCAGGAGAGGGAAAAAAATCAGCATTTAAAACTGGATAGACTGCAGTGCAAGTGGCACCATCTACTGGCACTTGTGTTCAGGCTCCTCTAATCTGATTTTTCTTTTTTTACTTCCAGAAGATTTTGGATTTCTTGACAAAGAGGGGGCAGAAATTCATGGAAAAAAGCCAAACGACGGCATTACGAAGCATGCTCATTCTGTGCTTTGCAACAGTTGAGGTATTTACTCTGTGAAGTCCATCCCAACCACCAGGAACGTCAGGAACATAACTAAAAGCCTCCACTCTTGACCATTTTCATTTTGGCCAGATACCTTGGACTGAAATCCAGTCAACCCTGGCTCTCAGGGCCACGTGGGCCATGTTTTAGTGAACTGCTTTCTGGATAATGTTAAATACTAGTTTATAAACAATGCAACAATTTTGTTCAATTAAATCCCTAACTGCAGGTTACTTAGGACTTCG